AAAGTTTATAAATAGTTTAATTCTGTACTACACATTTCATGTAGTAAAAACCTAAACTTTTTTACTTTTCGAGATAAGTAATGTAGCATAGGCTGCTAATAACAGTTAGATTATTAATATTTGCTATGATATTTTCTTGTTCTTCATGGATGAGAGGGTTTTTATATGGCAATTCTATTATTTTGGGCTTTCAATTAATGTTGAACTAAGCATGCTGTTAGCTTATTTTTCATTAGTTCCTTTGTGAAATTATCTGTAAGTTCTGTTGAAAGGTGCAAAAGCAACTCAATGGTATGAGATTTTGAGTATTAAACCATTGATTTGTTTTTCTTTACTCTAACCAGAAATTAGAATAAACATTTCATCAGATGCCTTTCTTTTTTTATGTACTCATAAAATTAAATCCTCTTATAATATTGTTTTGTTACTATTCTTAGATGGCACCAAAGCAGAAGATTAGAATCAAGCTTAGATCTTACTGGGTGCCCTTGATTGAGGATTCCTGCAAGCAGATATTAGATGCAGCAAGGACTACCAATGCAAAAACGATGGGACCTGTGCCATTGCCAACCAAGAGGCGAGTCTACTGTGTTCTTAAATCCCCTCACGTACACAAGGATGCTCGGTTTCATTTCGAGATCAGAACTCACCAGCGTCTCATTGATATACTGTATCCTACTGCTCAAACAATAGATTCACTTATGCAACTAGATCTTCCTGCTGGTGTTGATGTTGAGGTCAAGCTCTAGAGAGATTTTCTTCTTAGGTTGTTAACTATCTTGAATTTGAGGGAAGGTCAACTTGTTATCAATAGCCAAATACATTAGTCGATATCATGTATTTCGCTGCCTGAACTTTACTTGTGTGGACGATGCAAAATATTTCACCTTCTGTCTTCAACAAGGTTTTCATTTAGTCTATCCCTGAGTTCCTGTTATTGCACAGATATGTGTATATCATATTCAATGTTATGTAATTCTGATATGTCACAATGTTTTATTTTTCCCGTTATGTTATGCTTAAGAATTTCTTTTGATTGATTTCAAAATTGAATAAGATGCCGTCCTTGTAGTTTTAATTAAGGGAAGGAATTGTTGAGGGTGTGTTTGATTCGAGAGACCCTTTTCTTGTTAACTATTTTCACAAATAATTAAGCAAATGTTTTTCTGTTTTCATTTTATTTCATGTTTACTAATAGTAGTTCACAATAAATGGTAAAAAATAACAAAAGGGTGTTAGTGCTTACTTTTCAAATGTTTGAAAATGGAAACAAAGTAAAGTTAAGTGGGAGCTTCTATTTGTTGGGTTTATTTGACTTCCCTTTGTTCCTCTCCTCTTTTACATATTGCCAAACATGTTTAAAACTAGTGAAGATTATTCTATCACATTAAATTGAAGAAATAAGAATTATACACTGAAAATAATGTCAGATATGAAGATGCAGCTCTATCTCACATTTTTTTTAGTTTATATCCATTGCAGTGTTAGAAGTGTTTTAAAATTTTATGCTGATCGAGAATATGCACTGAAAATATGTCAATTCTGAACATATTTCAACTCAGTAGCATCTGTTTTTTTTGTTCATCGTGGAGGGATTCTTTTGTTCATTGTGGAGTGAACTCGGAGATTGTTGTTATGGAAGTCTTCAAATGAGGAAGTTGGCATATATGGCTCAACCATCTTTATATGTTGAAGATGAATCCTTAGTTAATTTATGGGGAATTGGCCCTCGTCCACTTGAAAATCTAGTTGCTAACGAAAGTGCTTTTGGATATTTGTTTACAATACAATATGAAAAGTGCTTTTGTTGATATTTATTATTTTATTTATTTAATTTGCTTTATCTTTTAGTTTGTTACCTTTTTTTTATACATTCTCAAATATTCTTTCTGGTGGAGGTGTGAAACCAATGTCAACCATAACAATCATACATCTCTTAGTTTTGTTCTTTTTGTTGAATGGAACAGGGATATTGATTTCAAAAACACTTTGAACACTTCAAGCTTTCGATTTTAAAAGTAATCGTTCTTTTTCGGGATACTCCAATGCTAAGTCAAGTATATGATCATTAATAAACATCATTAATATTTCTCATAAAATGTATTATTTATAGTATTGTTTATTGGCTCTTATGTGCATTAGTCTAGGTCATGTGGCTTAATTACATGCTAATATCGAATTATTATAGTTGATTGTGGATAATACAATTAGTACAATATTATTTTAATCGAACAAATAGAAATTAAATACATGTCAACTTAGTAGACTGACATATATTCTGTTAAAACAATTCTAGTTGAGTATGAGAATAACTTAATCATATGCAATATAATATCATTTTTCAAAAGAACTTCATGACTGATGAAGTCAAACATCCCATTCATAATTTTGTTTTTATTATTTTTACCAACATTCACAAAAATTTAGTTTTTTCTTTTATATCTTTATTATATGTTGTCTTACTACTTCTCTTACAATAGGAGAAATTTATGATATGACCATGTTGCTAAATGTCTTGAATCTAAATTACTATCTTAATATAGATTGATACATTACAATACTTGCAAGAGGAAAAAAAATAAAAAATAACTAATTTAGCTTGAATTATTCATGGATTTGATCTAGTTTGACATTGACTTGACTTGATTTATATTGATCTTTGTCATTCATAAAATTTTGACTCAACTTGAATCAGAGTTGATTAAAAATGACTTAAGTATGGTCTAATCTAGTTTGACTTGGTATGATCCAACTTAAGACTAAACTTATATTGAAATAACTTTTTTTTACCTAACCTGACTTGTGTCTAACTTTTTCTAGCCTGACTTTAGTGTTGGTCAATTGGACTTGTTTTTTTGTACAACTTAATATTAAAAAACTTGAATCTAACTTTACTTAACCATACTTAAATCTGACTTCATGCACATTATTTAAACTTATCCAACCAAAATTGAAATGATCTAGACATATTTTAATTTTAAATTTTTAAAATCTAAAATATTATGTATTCTATATTGAATTCAAATCTACTTAATTGAAGTTTACTCAATATTCNAGGGATTCTTTTGTTCATTGTGGAGTGAACTCGGAGATTGTTGTTATGGAAGTCTTCAAATGAGGAAGTTGGCATATATGTCTCAACCCTCTTTATATGTTGAATATGAATCCTTAGTTAATTTATGTGGAATTGGCCCTCGTCCACTTGAAAATCTAGTTGCTAACGAAAGTGCTTTTGGATATTTGTTTACAATACAATATGAAAAGTGCTTTTGTTGATATTTATTATTTTATTTATTTAATTTGCTTTATCTTTTAGTTTCTTACCTTTTTTTTTATACATTCTCAAATACTCGTTGCTTGTGGAGGTGTGAAACCAATGTCAACCATAACAATCATACATCTCTTAGTTTTGTTCTTTTTGTTGAATGGAATAGGGATATTGATTTCAAAAACACTTTGAACACTTCAAGCTTTTGATTTTAAAAGTATTCGTCCTTTTTCGGGATACTCCAATGCTAAGTCAGTCAAGTGCGTTAGTTAACAACAAATATGATCATTAATAAACATCATTAATATTTCTCATAAAATGTATTATTTATAGTATTGTTCATTGGCTCTTATGTGCATTAGTCTAGGCCATGTGGCTTAATTACATGTTAATATCGAATTATTATAGTTGATTGTGGATAATACAATTAGTACAATATCATTTTAATCGAACAGATAGAAATTAAATACATATCAACTTAGTAGACTGACATATATTTTGTTAAAACAATTCTAGTTGAGTCTGAGAATAACTTAATCATATGCAATATAATATCATTTTTCAAAAGAACTTCATGAGTGATCAAGTCAAACATCCCATTCATAATTTTGTTTTTACTATTTTTATCAACATTCACAAAAATTTTGTATTTTCTTTTATATCTTTATTATATGTTGTCTTACTACTTTTCTTACAATAGGAGAAATTTATGATATGACCATGTTGCTAAATGTCGTTGAATCTAAATTACTATCTTAATATAGATTGATACATTACAATACTTGCAAGAGGAAAAAAAATAAAAAATAACTAATTTAGCTTGAATTAGTCATGAGTTTGATCTAGTTTGACATTGACTTGACTTGATTTAGTTTGATCTTTATCATTCACAAAATTTTGATTCAACTTGAATCAGAGTTGATTAAAAGTGACTTAAGTATGGTCTAATCTATCTTGATTTGGTATGATTCAACTTAAGACTAAGCTTATATTGAAATAACATTTTTTTACCTAACCTGACTTATGTCTAACTTTCTCTAACCTGACTTTAGTGTTGTTCAATTGGACTTGTTTTTTTGTACAACTTAATATTGGAAACCTTGAATCTAACTTTACTTAACCATACTTATGACTCCATGCACCTTATTTAAACTTATCCAACCAAAATTGAAATGATCTAGACATATTTTAATTTTAAATTTTTTAAATCTAAAATATTATGTATTCTATATTGAATTCAAATCTACTTAATTGAAGTTTACTCAATATTCAAAAATATAAATTTGGATTTGTGGTAAAATTATTTAAATAAACTTAAAATAATATAAATTTAAACAATTTTATTCTGAATTTAAGAATTTATATTTTTTTTATCACCCTTAAAAAAATATAATTAGAAGGATTTGTTTTTTAAAAAAAAAAAGACTTTTTTTCTATGCCATTTACTATTAGAAGAAGGTCCGGTAAGGACCATTGCCTACTATGAATGGTCAATCTAGTGTGACATCTAGTAATTATTCTAAGATAAATATTTCTAGTAACAAAAGAATAAGAACTCATAATCTGATTGAACATTGTTCGAATCAGCTGAATGTAGTAATCGTTCTAATGGGTATTGAGCAGATAAGTTCACTTCCCTATTCCATACTTCGTAAAACTGCAATTTAGTTTCTGAATTAATTAAACAGTCACTCTCAAAAACATTTTGAGGAACAATGATGAAGTATGAATCATTTGATTGGTGAATACATTATTACACGTATCCCTATGCTTATCTACGTTATTTCTAGTTCTACGGAACCGCTTCATGAATTAGAAGCAAAAACACCATATTAGGTATTCTTATAGGGAATTTAAGTAGATCAAGTTGATGAAGTGGTATTCAAATCACAGTTATAAGAATTTTGACAAGAGAATGCTTGTCTGGGATCACATCTATGTGACATATTTAGTAAAACATTTTAAGGGTAGCCGGAGATTTATTCTAGAATAGGGAGTGAACCAAATCCTTAAAGTTCGATTGTGTGGCTACCAAATTGCTATGTTCTCTTGAGTGTGCAACTTGCTAGATTAGCATCTTCAATAATTCAGACTGACTTTCATGGCTAGATATGAGATATGGTGATAAAGAAGTCTCTATTTGTCTTATCTATTGCTAGGCCTGTCTCATAAAAGCCCTCTGTCCTTGTGCCTAACCTTACCACTTAAATGGCTAAATTGAATTTGTCCCTTAAAAAAAAGAGATTTATGTCTCCAACCTATTATTGCATATGATGTATGCTCCGTTTTACAACAATTTTATCACAATATTTTCTTTAAATTTGTCTTTAATTTCAATTTTTTATCCATGTTTATTAAAAAGAAGACTTTAAATTTTATTTTATTTTACAAAACTGATTTGTAAGATGAAATTTATATCTAGGTATTATAAACTCGTTTTATTTTTATTTTACTTTTATTTGATGTGAAATCTTTAACACATCTTCACGTAGAAACATATATACCTCTAACATCTTTAATTAATGTGGAATTTTAACACACTCTCTTCATGTCAAGACATATACATATTGAACGTGAGACTATATATTAACGAATGATCAAATAGTAAGTGGAAGAATAAATCTAACAAACATCAAATCATGACTCTTATACCATGTTAAGAAGTGATCTTTAAGTCTAATTCAAACCTTACAAAACTGGTTTATGAGATAAGGTTTGCATTTACATACATACTATCAGCTTG